GCGCCGGCGACATGGCCGCGGCGGAGGAGGCAGGAGAGGATGGGGCCGACATGGCTGCCACGTAGATGCAGGCGTTCGCTTCTGGGGGTGCTGATGCCTCGATTGGTTCCATGGAGATGAGGCCGGCGGTGGCCCAGTCACGTTTCCTCGGTCCTCAGTCCTCACCTCCATTCGGTTTCTTGAATTTCGGATTAGATTAGTCCAAACGTAGCCTGTGCATTCTTGCACTGTCTTGTTCTGATGTGCTCAGCACCCTATCATGCTATTCATATATGTATTCCTGAATTCTGACATATGGTTGAGAAATCGTAGCTGGTAGCTAATTTTTTCAGCTACTGCAAGCTATTCGTATGAAGCTCTGCAGCAACGATGTAATCTATATTTGATCATGTATACGTATTTTCGATACTTTTTTGTTTATTTAGTAGCAACAATCGACACTATTAGTCATCTGCATAAATAACTGCATTACAGAATTAGGCTGGCAAGTACTAGTACAGTACGGCAGAGGCACAAGTAAGCTGAGCTGTGAGGTTAATTTAGTTTTTCTAGTATTGCGGGCTATGCGGGTTTCTACTAGTCCACCACTGAACCCACGAATACAAGTTGAGCCAATAGAATTAACAAGCGGACAGCCGCATACCCGCAGTCTTTAGTTTGCGGCAGGCTCTGTGGGTTTGCGGCTGTCCGCAACCCGCCCCGCCTGCATCCTGAGTTGGACTGCATACGCCCTTGTACGCTTCGACCTGTACCTCACTGTAAGTCTCTGAACCACTTATAGTATGTATAAATGAATTTTCTGAACCGGATCTTTGTTGTTAGATCACGAACGGGGTGGGCGTTATTTTTCTCGGTGGCGCAGCTGATCCTGTACGCCATCTACTACAAGTCGACGCAGCAGAGATCATCGAGGCACGCAGGGCGAACCGGGTCGCCATGAGCCCATGACCGAGGCCGTCGTGGACTACTCCGCTTCCAGTGACAATCCTAGCTAACTAAATCAGTCCTTATGGAATACTTGTACTACATCATCGTATATTTTACTCTTCGACACTCTAAAACTATGACATTTACTCCAATATATTCTACTTTTGTGGTTTTGTAGTCATCGCACATTATAGTTTTATGCATTTTGCCTGAAAAAATTTTAGCCATTATTTTAACATACTAGTAAGCGGGCACGTGGAATCCACGTGAAATAATGTTTAGTATGAATTATTTAATTTCATGTTTTTACGTCGTGATAAATTCATACAATTAAAAATTACTTTCTAAAAGGTGAAATAATTAAAAGAAATCTCAAACAATATAATACTATAAGAAAAAAAATAAATGCGACTTTGAGTTTTTTTATTGAATTCCAACATGCCAAAAATCGGTACCTCGATTTTTAATTCAATTTTCATATCACCCTAAATATTTTTCAAAGCAACAACAACCAATTTCAGAGTTTATAAAAGAAAATCTAAAATAAATCCTCCTCCTTTCTCCAGGCCATTTTTGGTCGAAGTCTCCTTTCCCTCCCGAGAGGTCCAGCCACTCGCCTCTCTCGCACACGAGCGCCGCGCCACCGACGATCGAAACACTGGCGCCATGTCGCCGATTCAGTTTGCCTGTCTGCTTGAGTAAATCTCAAATTAATTGAGGATTTCAATTCCCCATTCCTGCCTCTTCATTTCCACCATAATTTCTCCTTTTAATTTGACTTAGAATCACCAGAATTAATCCTCCTTGAATGACCATCGCCGACGATCCCTCCATGGCCGTTCCCAGTCCTCTCCGGCCCATAAAATGACGCCTTATTACTCCTCACTACCCCTTTTGCAGCTATCCTCCCAAGCTCCCTTACTCTCCCGCCATCTCCCGTTGTCGTCCTCTTCACCGCACTAGGACAACTCCGACCGCCCCTTCGTCGAGGCCGTCGTTTGCCGGATCTGTGTCACCCTCAACCCCTTATCAATCCAAAGGTCTTCAAGCCAGCTTCCCCAGCTAGGGACGATGGCAATGGGACCCGTTCCCCATCACCAGGTGGGTAATTTCTCTATAAGGCCTTCTTCGGTTAATCCCTCCCACAAGGGGATTGAGGGGGATTTGGAGGGAATTTATTTCACACCTATTGTGGTGTGGAATTAATCCCTCTTAATCCCCTCCAATTCCCTCCCTTTTGTGGATTAATCAAACAAGACTTTAGGATGCCAAAATGGGGGAGAAACCATCCACATGGGGGTGTTAATATAACTAGATAAACTAACGAGGACTTCATATACATAATTTGACAGATTTTTTAACCTCCCATCATGCATATTTTTCAGCATTTGGATCAAGATCTAACGACTAACAAACTTTGCACAACTTTTGTGGATGAGTCCACACTTTTATTATGAGCCCATTTGAAGGCTCAGATATACCCTGAAGGCATATTACAACATAATATTTAACACTTCTCCTATATTTCAAGTCCCTAAATTTTAAGATGATTTCAGGCAACACTCTTTATTACCAATTAGTATGAGTAAATTGTCATTTTTATGATTTATTATTTGTCTTTGTGTCATAACATATCAAATTTTTGTCCTTGTCTGACTATAGAAATAACTGCAAATTGTTAATTTGTCTTTGTGCAAAACTGCAAATACATATAAGAGATTTTTGTCAGGTTTGTAGTTATGTCTAATGGATTTTTTATTCTCGAAACAAAAAATGCAGATTGTGTATATAGAAATTGCATCGAACTAAAACTGCAATTTTAGTACAGAATATATGCAATAACCGTCGCCTGAATGAAAACTAAAATTCAGACACCTGAAATTTAGTAAATCCCAATATTTAATATAGAGCACAGTAAAAGCAAGAGCCCAAACTATATTGGGAGACCATTCAAAGGCCCAAACATAATCAGAAATTGAAATTTCTGCATGTTTGAAAACTTCATACAAAATATGCTCTACAAAAAGTGAACTCTATACAGATTCACTACAGATACAGATCTAAAATTACATTTGTAACTATAGTGGAAACGCTATGTACCTAGCAATGTAACTAAAGATAAAATATGATGTAAATTGTAGAAAGTTCTCTTCAATTTAAGAAACATAAAGATACACTACGAACTAGCTAATTGCAATCTCCCTTTTGCATTGTAATCAGAAAATTACATGAACATTCACCTAAAATTACATTTGTAACTACAGTGAAATAGCGTTGTAACTAGCGATGTAAGTATAGGCAAAATGCAAAAAGTAGTCTTCAATTGAAGAAGAGTACATAGGGACTACAACCATCATATAAACTCAAACTACAGTGATCATATATGTCTACAAATGCGCATTCACCAAACTGTAAAATAACACTAAAACGTACGTCAGCCAAACTATTTCAACCCACCTTGTATTATTAGTCTGTTGGAAAAGGCCTATTGAATTCTCAAAAGAAAAAGTCTATTTAACTATCGTCGTAGTTTGATTTTTTTCTCGAACTACAACACCAGGCATCTTACTCCTGAGCTCTCAAAACCTTTCAAATTACCTCTCTGCCTTGGTTTGGAATGGTTTCGTCCTTTTTTAGCTTAGAAAATCCGATAGATACTTCATAAAATTTTGAAACCACAGAAAATATCTCCAAGATTTTAAAAAGTATGTAAATAAATTCTAGACATAGATTGCTGTACAAAAATCCAAATAAAATATTTACAGCTCGTGAAAACATTTCTAGAGATAGAGATTAGATTTGATATAATAAATGTTGTCCCTTAATTTTTGCATCCTCGCAAAAAGATTTGGAATCCTTCGCAAGAAGATTTTGATATATATATTTATTTAATATAATAAAATGGAACAATAAATGCTAGGGATAGATTGGGACATGAAAAATCTAAATAAAATATTTAGAGCTCGTGAAAACATTTCAGATAGAGGTTAAATTTGAGATACTAAATGTTGTCCCTTAATTTTTGCATCCTCACAAAGATTTGAAATCCTCCATAAGAAGGTTTCGATATATATAAATATATAAGAAGATGGAACAATAAATGCTAGGGGTAGATTGAGATCCGAAAAATCTAAATAAAATATCTAGTGCTCGTTAAAACATTTCTAGAGATAGAGATTAGATTTGAGAGACTAAATGTTGCCCCTTGATTTTTGCATCATCACAAAAATATTTGAAATCCCTCGCAAGAAGATTTCGATATGTAAATTTAATATAAGAAAACGGGACAATAATTTTCTGAATACGAACGTTGCATTGAATGATCCTTCCATTCCATCTTCGCCACTTGGCAAAGACCACACAATTATTGTATTTCCTTAGCATCGAAGAAATTGTTTGGTGCCTGCGGGCTGTGGGCACCGCAACACGCATCCTTCCCCACCAAACAAGCGTGTCAGTCCCATCGACAGGTGGCCCACGCCTGCAGCGGCGACAAGACCAAGAGCGTGACGCGGGTCGTCGGAGGCGCGCGCGCGTCTAAACCAAAAGCAACCCGCCGCGGGCGGCTCCGATCCGGCGCTCCTCCATCCTCCTCCTCGCTCGGTCTCGGTCGTAACGCACGCAGGCCGGCACCGGGCACTTGCATGATAGGCGGGCCGTGCTACATCACCCGTAGACCGCGCCCATGGCACTTGCATACATGGCGATAGATAGAGTGGGCAATGCAAGGGCTGCTGCAGATAGATAGAGATAGAGACGTTGTTGGCTGGTGTCGTGCGGCGTGGGTAGGTAGGCTGTGCGGACTGAGAGAGCAGACGTGCTTGTGCATACAGAGAGACGCTGGCGGCCGGCCGGGGCCGGGGGCTGCTGCTGATAGGTAGTAGAGAGACGCTGCTGATAGTGATAGAGTAGCCGGCGGTGCAGACCACGCACGCCTCGCGCTATAAAACCCGAGCCAGTGAGCGAGGCCAGTCACACAACTCCACGCCCAACCTCGGATCGGTCGATCAGCCGGTCCGTCCCAACCTCCATAGTCCATCCCTCCTCGAGGCTTCAGCTTCTGGAAAGGAAGCATGTTCGGGCACCACCACCACCACGGCCACGGCGGGCACCAGGCCCCGCCGCCGCCGCCCCATGAGCAGGAGACGCTGTACAGGATCTTCTGCCGCGCCGACGAGGCGTACTGCCTCACCGTGCGCAACGACGCCGTCGTCCTCGCGCCCACCAACCCCCGCGACGAGTCCCAGGCATGCTATTGCTTTCATGCTTTCTCTCTCTCTCTCATCGATCGATCCATCTTGCTGTGGTCATGGACATGGATCCGGTGTGCTTGACACGCACTGTGCCTGCGCACGTGCAGCACTGGTACAAGGACATGAGGCACAGCACCAAGCTGAAGGACGCGGAGGGCCAGCCGGCGTTCGCGCTCGTCAACAGGGCCACCGGCCTCGCCATCAAGCACTCGCTCGGCCAGTCCCATCCTGTAAGTACGCCGGCCGGCCGTCGCACCGTGTATGTTCTCATGCCATGCGTTGCGATCGTCTCTCTGACCCACCGTACGTGTTGTTGCACGCCACACATATGTATATGCAGGTGAAGCTGGTGCCCTACAACCCGGAGTACCTGGACGAGTCGGTGCTGTGGACGGAGAGCCACGACGTGGGCAAGGGCTTCCGCTGCATCCGCATGGTCAACAACACCCACCTCAACTTCGACGCCTTCCACGGCGACAAGGACCACGGCGGCGTGCACGACGGCACCACCGTCGTGCTCTGGGAGTGGGCCAAGGGCCCCAACCAGAGCTGGAAGGTGCTGCCCTGGGGCGACGAGGCCTACGCGCCGCGCCCGCCAGGGCCGGAGCCGGAGCCAAGCTACGGTGGGTACCGCCCCCCGCCGGGCGGCCCAGCTGCTGGGGGCTACGCGCCGCCCCCACCAGGGCCGTACCCACCGCCTGCCCAGCCGGAGCCAGGCTACGGCGGGTACCGCCCCCCGCCGGGCGGCCCAGCTGCTGGGGGCTACGCGCCGCCCCCACCAGGGCCGTACCCACCGCCTGCCCAGCCGGAGCCAGGCTACGGCGGTTACCGCCCCCCGCCGGGCGGCCCAGCTGGAGGCTACGCGCCGCCCCCGCCTGTGCAGGACCCTGGCTACGGCGGCTACCCTCCGGCTCCGGGCAACCCCGCCCCGGGGTACGGGCCCCCCGGGTACGGCAACCTGCCTCGCGCGCTCGCGTCTGAGCCCACCGTGCGCGTCTTCTGCAAGGCCGGCGACGGGTACAGCCTCACCGTCAGGAACGGCACCGTGTCCCTGGCACCAACCAACCCCAGGGACGAGTTCCAGGTAAAGAAAAGATCGATGCTCTTGATATAGGACGTTCTGATGACTACTAATGTGATGTAAAATGTGATCTTGGTTGGTTGCATTGGTTATTCGTGTAGCACTGGGTGAAGGACATGAGGCACAGCACTCGCATCAAGGACGAGGAAGGGTACCCGGCGTTCGCGCTGGTGAACAAGGTCACCGGCGAAGCCATCAAGCACTCCCTGGGACAGAGCCACCCGGTACGAACGATCACTCAGTTTTCAGTTGAACTAACCATGCATACAAACAATCTTGCGTGCGTGTGCAATGCAACTTTCTTTCTTTTTCTTCTTCTTCTTCTGTCTATTAAGTCAATATAGTTGTTGGCACGTTCCTGTCTACTTTCCTGATCGTTCAATGGGCGTCGTCACACGGTGTTGAACTTTGCTTGTAAATTGTAGGAGTACATAGTAACGACATTATTGCTAGATACTCCTATATGTGTGTATTTTCAACTGCTAGTTCCATCCAATCTTGAATAATTCTTGATGCATGTATCTGACGGATGGATGGGTGATCGAACATTTGGTATATGCATTGACATGGATCCATCGTCTGCAGGTTCGTCTGGTGCCCTACAACCCGGACTTCCTGGACGAGTCGGTGCTGTGGACTGAGAGCCGCGACGTCGGGCACGGCTTCCGCTGCGTGCGCATGGTGAACAACATCCACCTCAACTTCGACGCCTTCCACGGCGACAAGGACCACGGCGGCGTCCACGACGGCACCACCGTCGTCCTCTGGGAGTGGGCCAAGGGCGACAACCAGCGCTGGAAGATCCTGCCCTGGTGTAAGTTCTAATAATGCCTTCCAGTCCATTCCATGCATGCATTGCTGTATATTATCCTTGGAGGATTCATTATTATTTTTTCCATCATCAGTTCAGCATATACGACAGCACATCCGTCCACGGATGCTCCGATCTGTATATTGACTAGCTTTGTACTATTTATGTATTGCAGAGATGAAGCCATCCAAGCGCGGCGTTGAGAGGATCGACCGGATCGGAGGAACCTTACTATTTATGTATTGCAGTTATCTTTCTGTTTTCGTGTCGGTTCCTGAATGGACAATAATAATATAGGAGTAGTAGTGGTTGTCCATCAGCGTGCGACCATGTCTGAATCTGATCGTATCTTGCTGGTTGCTCGCTGCTGCTACTTCTGTTTGGTGTTCTGAAAGACTTTCGAGTATGTTGATGCTGAGTTCTCATTCACTGATCTATCTATCCTATAATTTGCCGTTCGCCCGTGGTATTGTGGACCGAAGATCGATGGGCGATGCCTGAGTTTCATTCAGAGTTTGAGTGGTTCTGAATTTCTGATGAGGAAGTAATCTACCGCACTGCATTTCTGCATTTTGACATTTGGCGTGCAATGTACCGTGCCAGGTCCCTACAGCAGCAACCACTGGTACTTGCAGTCTTTATTTGCGTTTGTGTTTTTTTTTTCTCTGCCCGTGTCAACTACGACGACGACTGCGCTAACGGACTAAACGATGAACAGATGCTGTTTGCTACTTGGTACAGGCAGTACATGCGTTGTCAGTTTCCATGCTTCCCAACGCGTGCGTCGCTGTATTGTTCTAGGACATCCAGCCAATTCTTAACGCCGAAGCCTACCAAGCACGTCGTCGCAGGTGGAACTAACAATGCAGATGCATTGTTTCCAGGCAAACAAACAAGAAAGAAAGAGGGCATGGCAAAACATAAAAGAAGGGTTGGTGAACGATCCACGCTGAAAAACTTTGCTGCTGTCAAATGAAGTGGATGCGGTTTAAGATTGCGATCTCGACAGGAGAGCAGATGACATGAGATCATGAAGCTGCACGTGTCTCTCTTTTCCCAGGTCAGCAGAGTTTTTGTTGGTGCCATTCAAATGCCAGTCAAAACAGCCTTAAATTCACCTAATCTAATCACGCCAGCTGGAAAACCAAGCCCAGCATTACGCAACAAACGTTAATTACTAGCTGTACTGGCTGTGGTCTCATTCATTCACATCTCATTTACAGGTTACACGACAGATTTCACCCACTGTATGTCCACTGAAGAAGTAGGAGGAAACCGCCTGCACCGAACGATGCTGTGCAGTGCAGTGCAGTGCTCGGCTGACGACGTGCGCAGATTTCACGGGTCAAACCATCCGTTGCTACTCTGCCCAAGGCTCCAAACGTTTTCAGAACTTCACCCGTTTGGATAGTTTGGAGTAGTTTCAGAGTGATCATATTGTGTACCAGATGCAACGCGTTATACGCTCTGAGCCATAGAGAGATTGTGACCCTTTCCACTTTGATAGCTGCACCTAGCTAGGCAGGCGCGAGCGCGGAAGTGCCCGGATTAGAGGATATGTGCTCATCGGAATCGAAACTATACATGGCCTCTGTGAGTGAATGGTGGACAGATGCTAGCAGCAGAAACAGTGACTGATCATCACCTATATAAGCACTTGCTGTTGTTTTCAGGGTAAAGGAAATGCGTCTTTATTCTTTCCGGCCTCGGAATTAGCACGTCGGAACCGATCTGATTGACTGGCTGAGTCGGTAATGGTTGATGCAACTTTCACAATGTAGCAGGTACTAGTATCGTGGGAGAGATTTGATTGTTTTCCCCTCCAATGACTAGACAACAAGCCTGTTGCCTGATCATTAGCTGCATTTACTAGTTCTGTTATTTATTTATTTTTAAAAAAAAGGGAATTCAGTTTTATTGGGCCTATTTATATGTATGCATGCCAAATTTTCATGACTCGGCGAGTCACAAGTCAGCCGGTTAAACAGGGGATCAAATTCTACAACATGCCACCCAAAATTTAAACACCGGTTATGCAAAGTCGTTTGTTACCATAACACTGAAAGTCTGAAACGATTGACGCACCACTACGATGACACCAGGAGTTGTTGAGCCGTTGCTAAAGATGTCACGGGATGAGAACTTGAGATGGACACGTTCTGCATTGGGGGCTTCGAGCTTTTGCACAGGGAGAAGGCATTTGGCAGGACAGGCCTTGTCTGGCGACGCAATTGGCAAACCTACCTGACCTGCATATCACCGTCCTAATAAACCCTGCCTAGCTTTGCAAACTGACAAGAGGAAAGCTCTTCCAGAGAGTTGTTGTTCCATGAGATTGTTAACCAAGACCTTCACCTAACCACACCGGGACAACGAGTGTTTACCACGGCAGTTACAGCGCGTCCTACCTTTTCCGGACGTCCGCGGGACACATGTTACGAGCAAGTGAGCCAGCACTGACCTGCCAAGACTTCATTTTCAGGTTACACGACGAATTTCTCCTAGTCACACTCTGCTACGCACTTTCTGTTGACCGATGGTGAGTTTCAGACTTTTGGGCAAACTGCTTTGGCGAAACTGCTTTTGGCGCAAATTTTCAACTCAAACTATCATATCGAATCTTTGCGGCATATGTATGTAGTATTAAATATAGACAAAAAAAACTAATTGCACAGTTTGGTTGGAAATCACGAGACGAATATTTTAAGACTAATTAGTCCATGATTAGACATAAGTGCTACAGTAACTAACATGCGTTAATGATGGATTAATTAGGCTTAATAAATTCGTCTCACAGTTTCCAGACGAGCTATGTAATTAGTTTTTTTATTAGTATCCGAAAACTCATTCCGACATCTCGGAAACATCCGATGTGACATCCAAAAATTTTCATTTCACGAACTAAAGACAGCCTAATTCTGTCCTTCTGAGCCCGCCTGGTGCCGGTCGTGGGTCTTCCCTCTTTGCCGCTGGGCTTCGCCGGGCCTTCATAGGGCGCGTGCAGCTGCATGTGGTTAGGCTCCGTTCGCTTGACTGAAATTAGTTGAGAAAACAAATCAAAACTGAAATATTGTGAGAGAAAAATACTATTCTGACTATAAAAAGAAGTCAAATAAGTCGGCTTTTAGGCAATTTTTCCACGCGCTGCGGCTGGGACCACCAGTCCAGATACACGTTGATTTGTGCTTAATGCTCTCTCGTGTTTGGTGCCGTTCCGTGCCTTGTGCTACTTTGAATCATGGCCTCTACGCACGCTGAGCCGCCCCGTCGCATGACAAGTCTTTAATTTAGCATAAGCATGGTCCATAGCATGTCTTCATATCATGCGCCCAAGCATGACTCTTAAAATATTTTCTTCGTTCACTCTTAACGTAGAAAAAATATATTTTACATATACCATTATTATGAAAAGCTTCAATGATTTTTATAATGTATTTAAAAATTACATGTGGAGCAAGCGTTGTGAGCACTTTTCTATTTGGAGAGGGACACGATTTATATCCGGATTTCAGAGTTTGTTTGCAGGGAGATCGATGGCATTTGTCAGGGCATCATGCCTTTGTCTAGCCAAGCAAAAAACTACCTGATCTGCACATCAAAATTTGGAAAGAAGAACGCGAAACTCAAAACTTCTAGGATTGTGTCATCAAGAAATCGATTAGATGAGAATCGGTATCAGCTGATTTAGATGTAATATCAGAATCGGCTATTTTATGGATGACGTCAGCAGACGTCGTCAATGGGCTATACTTGAGAGGCGCCAGGAAGATGTGTCGGACTCTACGAATAAGGAAAATTGGGGTCCAAGTTATTATTAAGTTAGAAAGTTTTCTTTTATTTTAAAAATTGTAATGAGTCGTATTTGAATATGATTCATGTTTAGGTTCTGAGTATAAATATTAGATCTTGATTATTGTAAAAAAGAGACGAACACACAATCAATACAATCTTTTCCGGCTTTTGCCATCGCATTAGGAGTAGTAGTACTGTAGATCTCGACGAGTTTTTCAGCAAACAGGGCTGCATCGACTGATCGACCTCCAGCTTACTTAATTCCGCTAGATCGACTGTTCTATTTCTATTCCAATCAAACATAGTATGCATTCAAATATACGTTTCAATCTTCAATAAACTTATTAGTTAATGAGATCTAATCTAATGACACTACCATAGCTACATCGATCCGATTAAACCTCACTGGTAAGACTTTAGATTAGAAATTATCGATTAGTGGTCTTGTTCTTGATCAGGATATGTATTTTGTTTGTTTGCTATGGCCGCATCGGCTATTTTAGTCGATTTGCCTATACTCTTACGCATATAGCATGTTTTTCATGAATCTATAGATTATTTGACTTTAGTTTATCATCATTATCATAACTGTATCGATCCGATCGAGCCTCACTATTGATGATAATAGATTAGATCCAAAATATTTGTAGATTTATTTAGATTAGACAGTCGACTTGTTCGCATGCTATACTCTTTTCATCAAACTTATCGGCTCAACACTTTATATCGATCATGTTATATTTAGCCGATGATGCTTTCTTATATCGTTTCTTATGGATACGCCGGATATTGACTATTTAGTCGATAGCCTCATTGAATCGGCTATTTAGCCGTACATTTGGAACTGTTCGGTGCAACACCGACATATTCCACTTTAAATTACTCATAAGATTTTCTCTCATCGTCAATTGCAGGTCAACTTGACTGGCATGTCGTCGGGTTTTTCAGAATCGGCTGGTTCTGTGTTGAAGCAAAGCAGATCTCTAGTCTTGTTCCACTCAGATCTTCCGACTTAATATGTGTTGATCACATCGTCATATTTATGTGTCAAACACACCATCACCGTCCAGATGAACCCTGCCAAGCATTGCGAACAGAGTGGACCCAGTTCTTCTCTCGCATCAAGAGAGTTGTTGGCCATGCCCATTGGATTGCCAACCAAAACTAGCCTTCACCAAATCAATACCGGGACAACCAGGTTTACCTTACCCTGAATTACAGC